TAACAGGTTAGACAGTCGAGTTCCTGACAGCAGAAATAAATGAAATAGCATTTTAAAAAAGACAATCCAAAAGATCAATGAAACCAAAAGCTGGTTCTCTGAAAAAATAAACAAAATAGACAAAACTTTATCTGGGATCACAGAGAAAAAGAGGCAGAAAACTCAAATAAATAGGATCATAAGAAAGAGGAGAAATTACAACAGACACAGCAGAAAGTCAGAGGCAAATGAGATATTACAAGAACATTTATATGCAAACAATTTCAGCAATCAAGATGAAATGGGCATAGTCTTAGAATTAGACAGTCACCCAAAGTTGAACAAAGAAGACATAGACTATTTAAACCAATTACAAGCAACAAAACTGAAAGAGTAATTAAAACCCCCTCAAAGTGCCAAAACCCAGGACAAGATGCTTTTGGAAGTGAGTTCTACCAAATATTCATGATGTTTTTTCTGTGGAAGGATTGAAAGCCTTCCCATTAAGATCTGGGAAAAGATAAGGATGTACACACTCATCACTGCTTTCAACATACTAGTGGAAGTCCTAGCTAGAGCAATTAGGCAACAGAGGACATAAAAGGAATCCAAATTGAGAAAGAAGAAGTAAAACTACTATTATTTGCAGATGACGTGATAATATACAAAGTACTCTAAATTCCACAGAAAAACTAATGAAAACAAGTAACCAGTTCAACAGAGTAGCAAGTTACACAATGCATACACAAAAATCACTAGCCTTCCTATATGCAAACAATGAGTCTGAACAGGAAGAAATTAAGAAAATCATCCCATTTACAATTGCACCAAAAAAAAAACCATTAAAAACCTAGAAATAAACCTAACAAAGGAGGTGAGAGAACTATACAAGGAAAACTACAAAACACTTTTAAAAGAAGCATAACAGAGAAATGTAAGATACTCCATGCTCATGGGCTGGAAGAAATAACACTCTAAATGGCCATCCTACCAATAATAATTTACAGATTCAATGCAATTCCAATAAAAATATTAATGGCATGCTTTAAAGATATGGGACATATATTGCTAAAATCATATAGAATCACAAAAAAAAAAAAAAACAATGGCCACAGCTTTCTCATGGGAGAAGAACAGAGGTATTACACTCTCAGACTCCAAACTATAAAACAAAGCCATAATGATAAAAACAGCATGGTACTTGAACAGAAACAGACAACACAGACCAGTAGAATAAAATAAAAAACCCAGAAATGAAAGCAACATATATGGTCGACTAATGTACAAAAAAGGAGCAAAGAACATACACTGCAGCATGGAACCCTCCTCAGTTAATGGTGCTGGGGATATTGGACTGTCACATGCAAAAGGATTAAAGTAACCTACTCTCTCACACCATACACAAGTCAACTAAAATAGATAAAATACTTGGATTTAAGACTAAAATCATAAAATATATAGAAGAAAACAATAAGCTAAACACTCCATGATATAAACCTCAAAAAACTCTTTGAGGACTCATTTCCAGAAGTGAAGATGATAAAGAAGATAAATATATGTGTTACTACATCAAACTAAAAAGTGTCTGTACAGTAAAAGAGACTGTAACCCAAACAAAGAGATATGCTACTGAATGGAAGAAAATATTTGCACGCAATACAACTGATAAGGGACTGATATCAGAGATCTACAAAGATGTAACACTACTCACCAAAAATAAAGCAAACAACCTAGTCAAAAATGGACAGAAGAATTAAAAAGACACTTCTCCAAAGAGAAATGTGGATGGTCAACAGGAATATGAAAAAAAAAATCATCATCACTTATAATCAGGAAATACAAATCAAAACCACAGTGAGATACTGTACTACCTCACTTCACTGAAAATGGCCTATATTAAAAAAAAAAAAAACAAAAAACTGGAAACAATAAATGCCAACAAGGGTGTGGTGAAAAAGGAAACAACCTCTTACACGGCTGGTGGGAATGTAAACTTGTCCAGCCACAATGGAAAGCTGTGTGGAATTTCTTCAAAACACTAAATATGGATCTGCCATATGACCCAGGAACTCCATTCCCAGGAATCTACCCAAAGGACACAAAAACACTAATCCAAAAGGAGACCTGCACTCCTGTTTATTGCAGCACTATTTACAATAACTAAGATATGGAAACAATCTAAAAGCCACAAAATAGACAAATGGATCAGAAAGTGGTGGGATATATACACAATGGAATACTACTCAGCAATCAAAAAGGTAAGCTCATGCCATTTCTGGCAGCATGGATGGAGCTGGATGGGATTATGCTCAGTGAAATAAGTCAGAAGGAAAAAGATAAATGTTGGATTGTTTCATTTATATGTGGACTTTAGAGAAACCAAAAAAAGCTCAAGAAATAGACAAAACTTGCAAGCTGATGGCAGATCTGAGACATATAACGGGGCGGGGGTGGTGGTGAAAGGCTGGAAACAGTGGAGAGAAAAGCACCAGGTTACGATGGTGATGGATAATAGAGTCTCTGGTGATGGGGAAATTACAGGCACTACACCTGAGAGGATAAATCAAATACTTTACAACAATGTACAAGAATGTTCAAAGGAAATTTAAAAACTGAAATTAAAAAAGTATATCTGTCCCAAGTCCTGGCTGAGGGAGCCAGAGCTGTGTGGGGGGCTGAGCTGAGGGGGGAAGGTGTTGAGTGCCATAGTCCCCAGCTTAATTTCTGGTTTGCTGGGGCTTGCCAAATGTATAGAATTGGCTTTAGTACCCTTGGTGATTCCGGGTCTCATTCCCACGTTCATGCCCTCAGGGTCACCCTTCAAATAGAAGAATGAATAAGAAGTCTCAGGGGATCGGGGAGTGAAAAAATGGCACGAGATGGCCCAATGAACCTTGGAGGGTGGGTGGGGATGCAGTCCTGCCCTCAATCCGGTGTATGCTCTGTCTGATGGGGTTGTTGGCACTATGGGATATAAGGTGGCCGACACCAAACAAGTCCAGGAGAAAGGCAGTCTATGGGGAGCCATGTTACTCATGTCATCTGACAAAAGTCGGGCATGGGGCAGATTTCTGAAAAATCAGGAATCTCGTTAACTGACTCCAAGATTCTCCTCATTTGTTTATGGCTAGTTTCTACCATTGCTAAAATATGCATTTAAAAGTAAAACTGCAAATACTGATCAATCACTGAATAACCAATTTGATGACAAATGGCACTGCATGATACAAATATTACATTTTTCATGAAATTGGTAGTCCTTTGCCAAAAAGGCAGCAATTCCACATTTGGCTTTACATTAACCAGTGAAAAAACTTCTGGAAACAAAAGGTTGTAAACATCTATCGGCCAAGTCTTTGATATAGAGATGTGGTCTCTTGAAGAGCTAATTGGAGAAAGAAATTCCTTTACTTTAAAGTTAAAGATAACAGCTGGATGGCAGAGGCAAGCCATGCTCCAAGTATAAGAAGATTCCTGATAAACCAGGAGACGCCATAGTTGACTCCTGCTAAATTCTTCCTGTTTGTTTAGGGCTAATTCCCCAGGATGTGACAATTGGTATGATAGCTGATAGCTATTAGAGTATGCATTCAAAAATAAGTCAACAACAATTTGTGAATGGTTGAGCTAGTAATCACAGAAACACAAACAACGGACTTGGAAATGGTGAATGTTACAACTACTGCTATGTCACATATTGACCATTTTTTGAGAATTAAAGGCTATAACCATCTCCTGCTCTTGCCCCTGATAAAATATTTGTCGTTCCTTAAAACAACAACCAGCAACCTTATGGAAGAAGAGATTGCCCTTTGATCTTATAGTTAAATACTGAAACTAGGCTGACTAGATAGTAGAGGAGTAAATAGGTAGAAAACTCTTTGTTTAGATTAGGAGACTTCCTCCCTTCATTGAGAGTTGGGGGTTAGGGAAGAGTCAGTGCAGCTTGCCTGGCATGAACTCCCTCCAGGCCCTTGGGTTCCTTAATATCAAATCAATATTAAAACAATACACTATAGATGACGATTTCTATATAAAAGCCTTCTGTTTTTTTTACTTTAATCAATTAGTTATATGTTAGTCTAAACTTCATAGGTTAGAAATAATCTCTTTGTCTCCCTTCCCTCAGGTAACTTCCTGCCCTTTATTTCCCTCAGCCCTTAGTTAATTGTTCACCATGGCAAACTTAAAATGTTAGTTTCAGACACACAGGTTTTTTTGCTAGTAATATAATAACTGTTGGATTGTAAATAACTACTTTGAAAACATTGGTTTAGCAACTGTGCCTTCTTTAAGACAAAGAATAATAAATGTTACACCTCTGCCGGAAGGCAAACAGACCCTTGGCTGCTTCTGAAAAAGAACTTGTGATGATTATTACCTTCCTTCCTTATGCTTGTGTACTCACGATTTGCTTAGTATAAATAAAGGACTGCTGAGACCCTCAGTAGGATGATGTCAGCACCCTGATCAAGTGTCTGGTCTCCTCATTCCCCTTCCCCCTCCCTTGCATTTTCTCTACAATTGCACCGACGCCTTCCCATCCTTCAGGAACCCCTGACACCCAGACTGCTGCGGCTGGCTCGCAACAATTTCGTGTACTACAGCCAGTTCCTTTGGACATGTGCCCCAAACTCAAAGTTGCAGGTGCACTTAAACCTGGGCTCTGTGCTGGGACAGATCCCACACTGGGCTGTGGGAGGACAGTCGGGGAATTGCACTCTCTGGATCTCTTCACCTTCCTGGACACAGAAGACCTCCTGGGAGTAAACAGACATACCTGCTGGGTAGCAACCAGCTGGGGCAAGAGGGAGCAGCCATGACACTCTGGGTCCCACCACCAGACAGGCTGGTTCTGGTGTAGACATGACCAGACTCCTGGGTGGGCCAGACCCTCCTTCCTTGAGCAGGCACACGCTCACTCTCACCACTCGCACACCCACACTCACAGTGGGGAGAAGGGGTGGGGGCATCAGAGCCCTGGCATAGGCCTGACCTGTCCCCAGGGCCCCCCTAGTTACCTCAGGGAAAGTGCTGGTGCTGGCCTGAGGCGTACACACAGGCTCCTCATGCCTTTCAGCAGAGTGTGACAAGAGTTTCGGGGACCATTTTTGGGTCCACTGCGGGGAGACCTGTGCTAACAGCAAGAAAATGTTGGGCCGGGTCCAGGCCCACCAGGCAAGTGAGGTGGGTCAGGTTTGGTTCAGAACCAACTGCCTGGAGACCAGGGTTCCGAGGTGATGTGTGCCCTGTCATCTCGCGGAGGTGATGTCACTTCCTGGGTCTCCTTCCCTGGACTTCCTGCTCAGACAGATGCCCCCCGCTTCCCCCCTCCCCAGCCCGCCACATGGCTACCTGGGCCACTTCCTGTTGGCCCTCCATACCAGGCTCATCTCACAACACTGACAGCAGCACAGCCTCCCAGAGACCTTGGATGGCACCATGCAGCCAGGGACAACCTGGGGACCCAAGTCTCCGGCTGCTGACCTGGCTCATCCTCCCTGCCAGGGAGCAGGACCTGCAGCATCGGCAACTCCAGGCTCCTGTCTCCCATGGGCCCAGAGGAGCTCCAGAGTGTGGAGCCTCTCCCTGGGGCGGTCCTGGGGAGTGGGCCGCTCCTCTCTGCTACCCTTGGAGGGGAGGCTGGTGTCAGGCTCACAGCACTTGGAGGATCCCACCCGGGGGAGGGCACCTGCACATGCCTCACCCAAGCCTGGCCAGCCCTGCTGGGGGCTGAGACATCTCCCACCCGGGGTGCCTGTCCTCCCACCCAGTGTGCCTGTCAGCCCTGCTCCTCCCTGGCCATGCCCTACAGGGCCTTGCGGGCCCAGTCAACGTGCCAGGGCCACAGAGAGTGCACATGTGCTGGCCACAGACTTCTCAGGGCCCCCTCCCTGCTCACACACCTGCCCACCTGCCTGGAGATTGTATCGACTTGGGGCTGGGTTCTGATTGGGACGAGGCCACCCAAGACATGGGGTGTCCACTCCAACAGTGACTGATGCCAGCAAGGCCTCTTCTGTCTCCTTCCCTGTCCTCTCTGGCTGACTCTCCCTTTCTCTTTCTGTATGTCCCTCTGATGTTCTCTCTCCCCCTCTTGGTCTGTCCTCATCTCACTCTCTGTGTGTGTCCCTATCCTTCTCTGCTTCTCTGTCCCTGCCCCATTCCTTTGTGTCTGTCTCAGTTTCCCTCTGATCCCCAGTGTGCAGAGGACCAGAGGGAGGGAGGGAGAATATAGGTAACTGAGGTGATGGTGCACGGGTGCCTTGGAGAAGGAAACTCTATGGGGACAACACCTGAGGGGGTAGGGGGAAAACAAATAGTCTTTACAAGTGAAAAGTGAAGTTAAAAAATAAAAAAAGAAGAATATAAAAAAAATACAATCACACCTGCAGGATCCTCATCCTGTCTTGGTTTCTCCAGCAGTGGGGTGTGAACTGCCCACACTGGGCAGTTCCACAAGTATAGTGGCCTATACCTGTCTCCCGCAATGGGGCTGTTTTGACCCTGTCTCCTGGAGGAAGCATCAAGTTGTTTTTTTTTTTTGTTTGTTTGTTTTTGGTACAACCAGTCACTCTGTGTCTTTCTCTTTGGTGAGTTCAATTCATTTCCATAAAGGGTGATGACATGATGACTTACTACTGTGCTTTTGTCTTTAGTCAAATCCAGGCAAGAAATGTGTGGTAGGGCCTCCCCGGTGGCACAGTGGTTGAGTGCTGGGTTGCAAGGCTGCCCGCAGCCTCTGCACCGTGGGTTCGATCTCTGGCTGCTCCCTGGCCACCAGAGGAGGGTCCCACATGGCGCGAAGACCTCTCCTGCCGCCCGCTGCTGCCCTCAGCAGTGTACTTCGTCAGTCTGCCTGTTCTGCATCCTGATCTGGCTCTGGTGAATTGTCTCACCCTCCTGCACTTCTCACTGTACCCAGTGCTTGTATAAATAAATAAATAAATAAATAAATAAATAAATAAATAAATAAATAAATATTTTAAAAAAAAGTTATATCTCAATAAATTTGCTTTAAAAACATAACAAAATGGGTCTACAAATTGCCCTGTGTCTGTCCTCCACAGTATCCTCATCGAGGGCTTGTGGGGCAGGAAACTGAGCCCACAAGGAGCTGAGCACAGACGGTTTCACTGCACAGATGCTTTCAAGGCGCCTCCTCTGCGTGGTCATGAGCCACGCGATGAGATGTTGACATCACACTGCTTCTGTGATGGGAGATACTTTTAGGGGCCTTGGGTGGGAGGCAGCTTATTTTTCATGTGGGCAGAATGGAAATAATGAGTGTCCAGAAGGTCTACTGTGTTGGTTTTCCATTTTCCACCAGTTCTGTGATACACAGAAGGGGAGACAGCTCCCCACGGGAGTGTGTCTGACACCCTGGCTCTTCCACGTGAGGAGAATGAAGCAGAAGGGACGCGCCACGTCACCGAGTCAGGCTCACAGGGGCTGAGACTTCCCACCCGGACTCCGCCCCGGTCCCTCTCTGGGGTGACTCCCTGCACACGGTGGACCCTCAGCTAAGGGGACGCCCACAGGTCAAGGACCTGAGGGTTTTCTCCAGGAGCCACATGCATGAGCTCTGAGGCAGGTCCTTCCATGCTGATCACGGCCGTTCAGATCCGCCAACATCTCGTCCCCATCACAGCCTCGTGGGACCCAGAGCTGGAGCCTCTGAGGGAGGACCCTCTTGCCGCCTGCCCCTCAGAGACTGTGGAGACTCCAGATCTTTGTTTTAGGTGCAAAGTAGGAAGTGATTTGGTACAAACCAGTAACATATTCAGGCGATAAAGTGATCAGTGGCTGTTTTCTCAAAAGAAACAGTGGAGGCCAGAGTAGCTCACATGACGGTCAAGGTCCTGATTGCAATGAGCTGTCAGACAAGTAATCCACATCCCCTGCAGTGTCCTTCAAAATATGTGATTTTTAAAAATCAGTTCTACCATTTTTAGATTCCTATTTAATTTTGCTGTTTTGTTTTCTTTATATTATCACCAGAGCGGTGTCTGCAGGGTCACAGCACAGAGGGGCTGTCAGCAGCCTGTAGCTGTGGGCCAGGCTGACTCTAACCTGCTAGCAGGGAGTGGGGCCTTGGGGCCCCAGAATCATCCCCCAGGGCTGGCCCTCCAGGGCAGCACATGCCTTTCTCCTCTTGATTCCCTGAATCACCTCCTCTTGATTCCAGGAATCTTCCTGCCACCCCAGCATTGGGGAGTTGGGGAGGATGTTGTAGCTCAGGAAATGGGGGCCTCCTCCTAACCATCTGTCCTCTCCTCCTCTCTCTCCTTCATCAGCCTGAGTGTGCCTGTTTGAGTCCCACCAGCCCTGCACGGACAGGAAAGGCCCAGAACTTAAGTAATTCCCTCGTCAGTTACAGCACCATCCCCTCTGCAGTCCCACGAGGGGAGACAGAGACTCTCCCAGCCCCAGCCAGAGCCGCGTCACCCACACAGACCTTCCCCTCACAGTGTCCCCGATGCTGCCCCTTCCTGGCCCCACCCTTCCTGGTGCCCCCCCACTCCTTTTGGGCCCCATCCCCTAGTCCCCATTTTCATCCTCTGCTCCATTTCCAGGAGCCTCCCCGTCTTCCTAGTCATGCCTGGGGGCTCTCCTCGACCTCCCCTCATTCAGAGAAGGAGAATTTTTAAAAGATGTATATTTATTTATTTATTTTCTGACATCATGGGTCATCTTTCTATAGTTACTGTTCCTCTTAGGTGTGGCCCTTCCACCAATGATCCACCACATACCACGACCAGCTCCCCGGGTCTCTCCCCGGCTCTGATCATTCCTGCTCCCCCCTGCTCTAAGACGTGGATGGGTGGTTGGCCCGGGTCTTGGCATTTTCCAGGAACCTTGTCCTTTTCCTGGGCAAGGACCTGGGCTCCTGGGTAGAACTGAATGTTAGTTCCCAGGAGGAGGCGCTTTCACCCCTGGAAGCAGAAGCAGAAACAAACTACAGAGACTCTGGATTCCAAGGATCCATCCGAGACCGAAGGAACCTCTATATTTGGGGATCAGCCCATAATCTGGGAATCAGCTATTATGACCTGGAAACTTGCTTTTGTCCTTTGTCCATAGGACTAAGAAAATTGGAGGACTTCTGACCTGACACTGGACTTGGGCTCCCCCTTGTGTGCAGATCCCTGTCCTGCCGCTGGGGGCCCAGGGAGCCTGGGGAGGGCCTGGCTGAGCAGGAGGAAGGGTGGCTCTGGGCTCCTGTGTTCAGCCCTGTGGCCACACGGGGGCGCTGCCGCCTGTTCCGGGTTCTGGTGGAGCCGCCAGGACGGGGCGGGGGCTGAGGTGGGCAGAGTTGGGGGTCCTGGAGGGCGGCGTCCTGGGGTGAGATGCTCTGTCAGGAGTCTGAGCAGCAGAGCTCAGGGGAGAGGAGACTCGGGAGCCTGCCCTGGGTGTGAGGTTTCCAGCTTTTCTCCCAGAACCCCTCTCTCCAGTCCCTGGACCGTGATACCTGGGAAACTGGAAAAGAAAAAAAAAAAACTTTCCATCTATAACCTATTAAATATTGAGAGTATTTTAAAAAAATGTCATTTAAAGAATACTGTTCGAATTACAAAAAAGTTGCAAAGGCAGTACAGGTCTTGTTTATCCCACACCATTTCCATTTTGTTAACATCCTACATGAGTACATATTTTTTTTTTTTTACCTCTAATGCAGCAATGTTGACATAATAACTAAATGCCATACTTTAATTCGTTTTTGCTAATGCCATTTTATGCCCAATAATCCCATGCAGTTTGCCTGGATGACAGTTTCTCAGACTTTCCTTGTTTCCTTGGGAGAGGTGTTGGGGTCACAGATGGGGGTTCTTGGGTCACCTCTAAGAAAAACTTCACCAGAGTCCTCCTTTCAGTGGGATGAGGGCAGACACACACACACACACACACACACACACACACACACACACACACATGCGTGCGCGGAAGAAGAGAAGTCGATGCTTGTGCAGACACAAATTGGCAGGAGGACCTGATCCTGGAGAGGGGGCGTGTGTTAGGGTGCCCGAGCCCGCGGACTTGTCAACGAGGTTCTCGAGGGGAGAGCAGCGACCTGAAGAACAGGGGTACACCACGGAGGGAGACACGTGCACTCTTCGTTCAGCTATCGCAGGTCTCTTTTACTTTCGGTTTCGGCGGGGCTTTATAGCTGGGGACCGGAAGCGGAAGAAGCAGGCCAACAGTGCCTAGCCAATGATCAAACACATATATG